GAGAGAGTGGGAAAATGAATGATAGAGAGAGAGAGAGAGAGAGAGAGACAGTGGGAAATGAGAGAGACAGACAGACAGAGAGAGGGGGAAAATGAATGATAGAGAGAGAGAGAGAGAGAGTGGGAAATGAGAGAGACAGAGACAGACAGTGGGAAATGAGAGAGAGACAGACAGAGAGAGTGGGGAAATGAATGATAGAGAGAGAGACAGTGGGAAATGAGAGAGACACGCACAGTGGGGAAATGTATGATAGAGAAAGAGAGAGACAGTGGGAAATGAGAGAGAGAGAGAGACAGACAGTGGGAAATGAGAGAGAGACAGACAGAGAGAGTGGGAAAATGAATGATAGAAAGAGAGAGAGTGGGAAAATGAATGATAGAGAGAGAGAGAGAGTGGGAAATGAGAGAGAGAGACAGCCAGTGGGAAATGAGAGAGAGACAGACAGAGAGAGTGGGAAAATGAATGATAGAGAGAGATAGAGACAGTGGGAAATGAGAGAGAGACATACAGAGAGAGTGGGAAAATGAATGAGAGTAGAGACAGTGGGAAAACCAGAGAGAGAGAGAGAGATAGAGCTAGTGAGAGAAATTGTAAAGAATGCAAAAGAGCGAGATAGAGAGAGAGAGAGGGTTTGGTTGTGTGATGAAAAGGTTAGATTTGTATGGCTTTCATGGGCTTTTTAAAAGGTTGTTGATACTTTTTTTTCCTGGTGAACTAAATAGTTATGCATTGAAATAATTGATAACGATCTTAGAAAGTACACTGTATATGTGTATCTTATGGAATTATTGTGTCTTTGAAAGTTATATGGGCATCGTCACTGATTAGAATACAATATTCAATTTTATTCAAATAAATAACAATATTGATACGTGTATGTTAGATTTTGTCTTTTTTTTAATAGAAAAAAATAAAACACGACGTATAAAATATATGCTACTTGTAAGTGTCGGCTTGCATGGTGATGTAGATATACAGTAGACTTGCTGGTGCACCATGTGTGAGAGAGAGAGAGAGAGAGGGTTGAGGAGTCCTGAAAGGGACTCTGACTCGGTAATCTTTCTTTCCAGCCCAGACGGACAGTCAGACGAACCAGCCGACCATCCATGTCACCTCCGATGACTCAAGCCCACACGGTCACCTATTTTTCCCTGACGTCCGCACCCCGGTGACTTAAGCTCTCGCACGCCAGCTATTCTCCACACCTGACGACGGATAGTCAACCTGTTCGAAACGTCGAGCAACTCATCCTCTCCAAGCGCTTTAGTTCTCCTCAGAACTATATGCTAAGAAAGATAAGGACTACACACCCTCAAGACAGATTACCGAGTCACGAGTCCTTTTCAGGACCCTCAACCCCCTCTCTCTCTCACACATGGTGCACCCGCAAGCCTACTGTGTATACAATATATTCAAGCATGTTAACCAAAGGCGTGATATGCTACAGTATACAGATGAAAAGATCATAGTATTTGAGATGGCATGTTATAATGTATAACAACAAAAAGACTCTGTATGTCCGTTATAGATACACAGCATGGGTAGTTTAAGCGATAAACCAATTTTACTCTGTTTTATTCATGTCTATATATTAGTATTAAACATCTACGTAATAATAATAATAATAGTGTAAACTTATAGGCCCGAATTCACAAAGGAGGTTTAAATTTAACCCATGGTTTAAACCCTCATTTACATAACCCATGGTTTAAAAATAAGCGCAAATTAGGCGTACCTTGCCTGGCGCGCGTCTAATACGGGACCTCTTGACTGTGTTGCGCTTATTCAGGGACGCTCATGGCGCTAGCTCAGCAACAGTTCTCTTTGATACAAGTAAAGTAAACAATTTTACAATATATTTTTACAACATATGTTCAACAGAGTGTTGTAAAATACATGCCAAACAAAATGTAAACATGTCAATTGAAGGCAAAATATTGTGTACAAATAAGATCATAATATTTGAGATGGCATGTTATAATATTGTATACAAAAAAGGACTCTGTATTTCTTGTATAGATACACGGTATAAGCTGTCTGAGTTTTCAGCCTTTTTCACCACTGTTATATTCATGTCTACATCTTTATAAAAATATCTTCATTAAAACAAACTAAAGTTGCAAAATTCATGTCAAACAAAATATAAACGTGTCAATTGAAGGCATAATACAGTGTAGAGATAAGATCAGAATATATCAGATGGCATGTCAAGGGGACTGAATGATAAACCATTTTTACTCAGTACGTTCTTACCTACGTTGAAATAAATAAATAAAATCTACATGTAGTATATGTACCCGGGGTACATAATATAACGCGTATAAAGGGGTGTTTTTTTATAGATTGGACGCGGTCCGCGCGGTGCCGCATTAAGGGGTTCAAAAACATTCATTTTGGGCCATTTTCAAGAAAAGGGTACCTTTTTCAAAATGGTTTAAAATCGTGCTTTACGTACCGGTATACGCGTTTGGGGGTATTTTTATGGCCCTCAGGGGCCAGACCTACCAAGTCTCACGCCTCAATTGTTCAGTACGTTGGCGCACTATAAATCACGACATTGCACAGTTACTGCGCAGTCATGCGGGTACTTTTTGTAAACCATGAAAAACGGCTCAAAACCGTCATACAAGTAATTATAAACAAACATTACTGCACGGTTATCCGATTATTTTAGCTCAAAGCACGAAGTACTAATATAATTTTTGTTTTATTTCATCCACCTTTTCAACTTTCAACAATTTTTTTTTGGTTACATAATTTAAATAAGGGGGACTAAAATAACAAGCTGAACAAGATAATTCGGTTAATACTACATACCTCCTGGACATTTATAGAGATACTGCATATGCTTCGATAGGCCAATGGCGATAGTTGCATGTTAGAAGCAGTCGCTACGACGTTCTTTATGTTTAAGTTATTCCAATGAAGCTACATAGCAATGTTTACAAGTATTTCATTAAATATTACAACCTGAGGAAACTGTGTTTAACAAGTGTAGAATAATCTGTTTTAATAAAATGCCCGGTGCAGGTATACTGTTTTTCACTAAAGAAAAGTATCACTCCTTCATAAGGTCGGCCAATTACTTGCCATCGTTAAAGGGATAGTTGACTTTTGTTGCAGAGGGCGCAACACAAAATAGTTTTGTTGTGAGATAATGAAAAACTGAGTGCCAAACTTAAAACAACATACAATTTTAATGACCAAATTATCTTTGTTTGATCAAATCGGTAAAGAGACGGCTGAAATATCCATAAATATAACGATTTCTAATATTTATGGTGCCCCACAAATATTCGATAATTTCAACCAGCCGTTGACAAAACGTAATTTCTTCTTCAGCCAACGCCGATGTTGGCTTTTTGTTGGCCTTTTCGTGTTGGTTATAATACGCACAACCAGCCAGCCCATTCATTGTTATTATTAATTAATTAATTAATGGTCACCGTATATTTTTTAAAGTGGAGCTGAATTGGTCGGGTATGATCATATTGGCTAAATTTCACATATTTTTAAGTCAAAAATAACAGTTTTAGGTCCTAAAAGAGCACTAGAAATGTCATAAAGAAGAATAAGAGCAATAACCATGCACTTTGAAGCCTTTTGCGGTCTGAAGCAAGAACTCAACTATCCCTTAAAAAATTCAAGACAAAATAATCAAATAAAACAGCTAGAAACATAGTGGTAGAGGGCGGAAAAGTTCAGTAGTCTCTTGTAATTACCAGCGAGCGTAATCATACACACAAAACTGAGAATGACACAATATAATATTATAAATGATTTGCGCCTGTAAACAAGTCGCTAGCTCGTATAGGGAAAAAGAAGTGACTGTCAATGCTCTATTTCCGACAAAGAATTAAAAAACATATCACATTTGTTTCAAGGTTTGGATATTTTTGGAAACAATTTTCACTTTATGTTTTTTGACCAAGGACGATAACTATTTTATTATCTTACTCTTGGGGAAACATCCTACTCGGGAAACAGAACCAAGAAATTAAATCTCACAAAATTTAAATCGTGTTACTTTGAAAGTAATCTATTAAGATGCAAACAACAAAACATTTTAACCGAATAAAACTATTTTCTCCACTTTATAACCATGTAGAAATGAACCGGAGAGGAGGTAGCTTAAATGGGCTGTAGAATGACGAGACTATTTGTCTTACCCGTGGCCTGACTCGAGGCCAATCGGGTATACTACTACGACTATGGACGACGCGACCGCAGTAGGCCTATGTATTCACGTGCGTGCAACATACGCAAACCGAAGAGTGAGGAGAACTTCGGTCTGTTTAGCGAACGCTAGAACGCTGACCCAGTAATAATCAAGTCCATTCGTTTACGTGCAGTTCTCCAAAAGAAGTCGTGGATAACGTTAACCAGTATTTCCCATGCTACAGCCCCTTTAATATATAGGAAAAACAAATTATATAAACACAGAGTAGAGTGGCAACATATAAACAACGTTATACAAAATAGGGTCCCTCCATGGACCAAACACATTGACCAAACACATGGCCCTTAATTCAAACCGAAGGAGGGATACAGCCACAATCAACGTAAACTCGGTCGTTGTTTTTTGTTCAAAATATTATTTTTTCTTCTCGTTCATTGTTTTCTGCTTTTATTGTTATCGTTACCTCTCAACATTATATATTTCATTTGGGACTCTCAATAATGCCAGGTCAATATCCATTTAATCTTTTCAACAATATCTAGGAGGAGGGCCTTCCCAATGGGAGGGAATGTGCATAAACAAGCTTCTAGAAGATGATATCGTTTATTCATTGCATTCACTCTGCAAGTGAAACTATACATGTACCTTCTACATAAATCTACTCCATCGACTAACCGTATCGATTGGTTGTTCTTGATAAAAACCGATCAGAATCGTTATTCTATTGTTGTAGGACATGGGATTTTGTTTTAATGCAAATGTTTTTTTTTTTTTTATTGTACTCTACAATACTTGAACATATTAAGAGACAATTTTTTTCAAATTCTATACACAGTATGTTGGTAATAAATGTATTATTATATTCAGCATGTAAAACAAAAGTATCTATGAGTTGCCTATCGATTACTTATATAATAAGCTCCAAATGCGTTTATGAAAAAGGAAAAGAAATTGTTTTTAAAATAATTTTATTTTTAATATATAAAAAGAAAACATTCTGAACGAACTCGCTTTCAAAGCTCACCATAAAAAAATATATGTTACACGCTTCCGATACAGCATGTTCAGACGGGGTTTGCTTTTGGTCTGCATCTCACGACTACCATTAGGAGGAGAACGACAACCTCGATGAAAGCTAATAGTTTGAACGTTGCGTTGTAGGATGAGAAGTGATCCGCAATCATTCCTGAAAAAAATACAATGAGAGCAATTTGAATCCACTTTGTTGATCTGAATACCTATGAATAAATCCCTTCATTACAGTTATTTGATCAGTCACTATTTTGATCTTTTTGCATTAATTGCGTTATCCAATCTATTTCTACATGATTAACCTGCAACCCTTTAAAGCCCAAGTCCACTCCAAAAATATATTACTTTCAATAGAAGCAGAAAAATCAGACTAACCAAGCAAAAAAAGTCTGAGTAAAATCGGATAACTAATAAGAAAGTTATGAATTTTTAATGACATTAAAAACTTTGAAAATCACTAGACAAATTGGCAACTCACTCATGAGTCTGTGACCTCATGATATAAATTTCCTATTTTCTCCTTAAGAATCTTATTTATTTACACCAGCAACCAAGTTAGATTAATTGTAATATGTTTTTGTGTGGATGCACTAATATAGAGTAATTTTTTCCACAAACAGTTAAATCATGAAAAATGTGAATTTTGATAAACTTTTTATATAAAAATCAATAATTATGAATATACAATATTCAGAAAAAAGTATAAGTTCTTCAAAGTTCATAGAAGATTTTGTGAAATGTCATGCACGCAATATGATACAAATCATATAACCTGGGCAAAGGCATGGGGAAATCAAGTTTGGGGAATAAAAAGGGAAATTAATGGGATTAAACCATATAGAGCAATTGATAAATAGTGAGAACATGACGTCACAAACTGATAACCATCTTTGCAATTTGTGTTGTATTTCTCATTGTTCCGTAGTTTTACATACTTTTTCAAATAATCATAACTTTCTTATTAGTTATCCGATTTTGCTCAAACTTTTTTTGATTGGTTTGTCTGATTTTTTCTGCTTTTATTGAAAGTAAGTTATTTTTCGAGTGGATTTGTCCTTAAATCATTTGGTGCCCGCTGGACCAGTCACGTGTGAAGATTCTCTTCATGACGGATGTTGTGTATTAAATGAATATTCATTTCATAATGACTATTCGATATAAATAGACACTGATATATATCATATATAAATCAGTAACTGTACCCCAAGATTATTTTATTTATTATTTGGTCTCGATACAGCTCTTATAATTGCTGCCCTCTATCGCCACCATTATTTTCCTCGTCTGCGTTTGATACCAATGGGCGTTGTCTTCATATCCATTAAATCCTTAAATGCAAACTATCTCTAAATTACTGGTAGGGAACTGTACCCCACACCTACTGAGTTTGCAATCTTTGTTCAGTCTATCATTGAACCTAATAACATTATAGTGTTTTTTTTAAGCTGTTAGAGCAAAATCAGTTCATAATCGTGTTTTTTAATTGCATTCCAAATCAACGAATAAAATCACGAGAAGGGTTAATTGTTGAAATTGATCTTATCGAACCATTTTCTTTGCTTTCATGAAGGTTGTCAAACTGATTTTCTTCTTTCTGGAAACAACATGAAAACAAACTAAAAATTATTTTTATTCAATTCAAGTTAAACGTAAAGACCAGTTTTGGAAACGCCCCCCCCCCCCCTCTCAAAAAATGAAACGGAAGTTCTTATTACCAATCATGTGAAAGAATATGTTTTGACTAATACGTGATGATTCAAATTTTGCCGGGAAACCGCCTACTAATTGATATGTTTGGTAAATTATTATATCTATCTGGACTGGATAGATATATTGTAGTCCCATATGCATCTTTCTGTGTACAGTGCTTGTAACTTTACCAAGACTGGGCCAAATTTCTTATCATTTTGATGATTCCAGAACCCTGCCGGACACACCAATATATATATATATATATATATATATGCTAGATGATCAACCTTTTCTGATCGATTCCACAACGTTTCTTTCACAAAGCAATCGCCTGACCGGCACTAGTCTATACCTTTAACAACAACAAATTATTTTAATGGCTCATATGCGTTTTTGGTGAATCCTTACCACTCAAATAGCCACCAAGAAACCGCCCGGATCCGATAAAAATTAAGGTGGCTGCATACACGACATCAAACTTCTCTGGAGATGCTCTGTACCTCACAACCAACTGTCCTAACACCGCCTCCCCTCCTACTGCCATTGCGGAGATACATGACGTCACCAACATGGCGTAGAAGTTGGTGAAATACACGTCGCAAAGAAGAGTGGCGATGTTTAAGATTGTAGCGAAGAGAAAGAGGGTAACAGGTTTGACGAGGCTGTTGGTAAGGACACCTACAGCAGCCCTGCCGAAGGTATTCCCTATTGCTGCTGAGAAAGTGATGATAATGGTGTTCCGGACAGAGATTCCCCTCTGCAGAGCATGCGGTATAAGAAAGGAGTGCCAACCTCCCCAAACCATATGCGACGCGAAAATTGCACCAAGTAGCACATTGAGCACAGGATCCACGTAAAAATCAGATTGGCAAAGGCTGTTGGTGATACTACGAAAAACTCCAATCTCGTCTCTGTTGTCATCTTTTGTAAAGAAAATTTGATTATGAAGGCCTCCAAAAAGGGGTTTAATCTCAAAATTACTTTCGATATGAATTTACCTCTAAAATATCAAAGTACACAAGGAAAATGTAGGTCTCTCATCAATTGTCTAATACAAACAAATTAAAGATTTGTTTTAAATACAAAACTAAACATTATATCTACAATTCCTTTCTCTGCACAAACTCCATTATATTATCTAAGAGTATTCCACTGTATTGTTATTCAGCTGTTTATTGTCGCTCGAAGGGTTGGCAAAACCCTCGACCCTGTCCATAACATATGTTGAACCGAGGTGGCGCACCTTAGTAAGCAGCCAAAGCATTTATGTTAAAATCGGACAGGGTTACATATCGTCGACCATAATTTACCATTTATGTCAGTCTTCTTAGACTTATTAAGCACACGAGAACGAGGCCCACACGACTGACACGGTAGGTCTAGAAAATCTTCTGACAAACTGTCAACATTGTAAAAGGCCCACGAGACTAACAGGACACAAGACCGACATGTTGGTCTTCTTGGCTTTTCTGCCATATTTTTCTGACATAAGTTCACGAGACCGACAATGGCGTTCGCATGAGACTGCCGGTCTCACGGGCTTTTGGTCTACTAGGAATACCGGTCCAACTCACCTTCTGTGTCCTTGCTTGTGCTGATGTTGCTCTCCTCTTCCTCGTTAAACTCTGGGGGCGAACTTGGGACACTCTGAACGTCATTTCTCTGTGTGCTGCTCTCATCTGAATCGAACTTGATTGCCATGCCAACTGGGATAATATGTGCCATCAGCGCGCTAATGATGAGCAGTCCACCTCTCCAACCGTAAGCTTGACGTAGGAATTCAGCTATGAGTGGTAACAGAAACATTCCGACGCCATATCCAGTCAAACTAATGCTGAAAAGTAGGTTGAAATTTTGAGCCACGTGGTGCAATGTCATGGTACAACATATATGTACCATGCAATATCCAAGACCTGTTTCACATGAAAAGAAAACATGTAGGAGAATTGAAATTGGATTATCGTATCTGAATAAAATGCATAAGTACCCATTAAAATTTGATGTACAAGAATAATTCACGAACGTCATTTTTCAGATAAGTTATATTTTTTAAAGTTTACTTATTTGACATATTTATACAGGATAAAAAAAGAAACAATCGAATCAGCAAAGCTGTTTTTCATCGATGTCCTGTTAACATGATTAAACATTTCCAATTTAACAAATGGGATTCTTTTAATTACATCAGTCAAAAAATACACAAAATAAGGCTCTAAAATGCAAAAAAAAACACAATATTAGAAATTCGTTTGAAAGAAGTTAATGAATGGCCAATCTTATATGTTGAGTGAAAAAATATAATAGCAACAATAAAGACGGTTAAGAATCCCAATTATATCATAATTTAAGGTTCAAGCTTTCTGATTGTCGGAACTGCGGGCATTTAGCTATTGGACGCCTAAAATATCAGACGAAAGCTAAAACTTTAGTGCGGGCAAAAGCTCCCTTTGTGCGTCGAACAAATTAAGAATGAACGTGTTTATAGTGGATACGCACAACAAGACACGATCAGTTCGCTAACTATTCCATGTATTCTATTGTAAATATTCTTTAAAAGAATTCACTTTACCTCGAGCATTAAACATAATGCTCTGATAATGATGAGGATGATGAGAATTATGATATAATCCTCGTAATCGTTATGATCATTATTATTTTCATTATCGTATACTGTATTTCTGTTACTGTAATTAGTTTGTATGTACGAATGAGTATATATGTGTGCCTCAGTAATCTAGGTTTCACAGACGTGGTTGAATCAGATAAAAGGATTTACGCCTAGGGACCGACCTTTAACGTCACTATCCGAAAGACGTGACTCAGTTTCAAACCGGGGTCACCTGTGCCAGTTTGTAGGCGAAGACAGAGAGCTGAGCAAACTCACATCTCCCTATCATCCATATCCCATATTCGTATTAAAAAAATATGTATTGTAATCATGAAGGGGGCTCGAAGTGTACATGTGATTATATCATCGTTGTAGCTAAGCAGAGGTTAAAGATAAACTCCAGTACTGGTAAAAAAAAAAAAAAATTCTCACAGAATCAAACGAAACTTACACTGAATGTTCAAGATTACAAATAAATGACATGTGCCAAACAATTTTGGAAGAAAATAGAAATACAAGGAAATCAAGGTAGTACTAGCCCCGACACCATGTGTGTTGTCCCATATATAGCTTTCTACACTGTCGCTCATAAAGGTGGAATATTTTGTTTTACCCCAATTTATGGAATTATTTTAAAAATAATTTAAAAATAATAGATCTAGATAATAGTTGACATTCTCAGATTTTATTGAATAATAATTTGCCAATGTGTGTTTTGCGTGACTGCTAAAGCATGTGTATGCTACTATGCTTATCAACTAGGGGACCTATGCCCTTAAGTCATAAAATGACAGTAATGAGGATTAATGCCCCACAAAAGGGCACTAATATAGCACATCGACACGGTTTTGATCCTGGGGCCTCACAGTTACGAGGCCATTGCTTTGTCACTCAACCGTGACTGTACGCAGCGGGGGCTAGGGTAGGGGGCAGTTTCCATAAATAAAAAAAAACACAGAAAATGCAATAAATTTTCAATAATTTGTTGCATGTTACCCCGGTCCCCAACATAAACAAATCTTCTGTTTGCCCATGCCTTGAGCCATAATGCATGACTGTCCAGAGGATTTTTTTTATGTTGGGGACCGGGGTAAAATGCAATAAATTATTGAAAATGTATTGCATTTTCTGTGATTTTTTTTATTTATGGAAACTGCCCCCTACCCTAGCCCCCCCTGCGTACAGTCGTGGTTCAGTGCCAAAACAATGGCCTCGTAACTGTGAGGCCCCAGGATCAAAACCGTGTCGATGTGCTATATTAGTGCCCTTTTATGGGGCATTAATCCTCATTACTGTCATTTATGACTTGAGGGCGTAAGTCCACTAGTTAATTAGCATAGTAGCATACACATGCTTTAGCAGTCCCGCAAAACACACATTGGCAAATTATTATTCAATAAAATCTGAGAATGTATACTATTATCTAGATCTATTATTTTTAAATAATTTTTAAAATAATTCCATGAATTGGGGTAAAACTAAAATATTCCACCTTTATGAGCGACAGTGTATGTGAGTGCTTGTTACTTTACCAAGACTCGGTCAAATTTATTATGATTTTGATGACTCCAGAACCTTGCAGTGCTCACCAATACTTACATGCTACATGATCAACTGTTTCTGATCCTTTCCACACCTTTTCTTATTGCAATTTAAATTAAGATCTTTATATTTGTAATTAATAATTTCATATTTGCAATGTTCTTTTGACAGTGTATCACATGTTTCTACTAAATATTCTTCCAATTTGAAATATGTGGTAGCTGAGAGTTTGCGCTACAGGGGCCGCACTATATACTGTGCATTTACCTCAGCGCTATTTTGGCCCCGTTTACCCATGACCGCAAGTATTCTATGGAACAAACATCGATTTTCTAAATTATAATACAAAACTAGGTAAATATTGTTATGGCATCATGAAATTTAATACAATGCCGCACGATGGCACGCTTTCAAATCTTCAAATGCCTACTACGTACTACCTATATTTGTACAAGTTACAATAGTTGAGGATGTTAGGAGGAGAAATGGAGCAGTTTGTTGCAAATTTCTAAACGCACCACATTTGGTGATGCTACTCAATTGATTGGATATCAAGAAGGGTGTCCCCTAGAGCCACCATTTTGGTCAGATCTAAAATGGCCGCCAGATAAGTTTGCACAACGGGAAGCTCTATAACAGGAGTTCTCAAACCTTTTAGTTGACGGTCCATATGTATTTATTAGCGATGTATGGTCCGTTACTTGGGAAGCCCTTCGCCTGAAAATTACGGTCGATATTAAATTCAACTTAAGTTGAACAATGTACAATTGAGTGTTAGAAAATTGGGTACGACCCAAACATAACTCAATTTTGATTAAGACTATATAGACAATCTATACTCCTTGATTATACGGTAATGAAACTCGTATACTGAAAAAATGAGGCTAGATTTAGGTCTATATCTATTATAAGGAGAGTTGTTACTGGCAAAAGATAAACAGAGCCTACGAGTTTTAACAATAAATATCGGCTTAGGGCCTATATAAGGCCTTTAAGTGTTAACAGGGGCGTTGTGGCGTGCGCCTGTAATCCAGCTAACTATGGAAATTAAAAACTGATTCAGCCGAGGACGCAGGTTCGAAACTGAGTCACGTCTTTTGGATGGACCAGGTGACGTTAAAGGTCGGTCCCCAGACGTAAATAATCATATCTGATCATTGATACATGTCTGTAAAAACTCAACTACACACACGAAGGTTCGGAAGTCTTCAAGTAATCCCAATATTTCATCCAGGCCATTCATGCATTTTCCACGATGTTGCTATTTTCTAAATGCACTAAGACAGGCACCGCTTTTCTTTCAAATTTGGTCCATTGTTTCTATACTTTTCTCCTTGGTGTTTCTTTTATCTACTCTCTCCTCCCCCCCCTCTCTCTCTCTCTCTCTCTTAGATCGTCTTCATAATTTCTCGTTTTTCCTGAGGTGTCTCTTTAGTTTTTACTAAGACATTCAAATCGTAGTTATATAAATGTCCGTGTTGTCAACAATAAGTCAATTAAAGTTTTGACATCCCAGTTCTCAATGATTCTCCTCATTGGTGCCCTCCATTCATCTTTTGTCAAAAGCTAATGGCATTCTATTTAATTATTGTTTTGTATGCATCTATTTGCATTCGGTAGACAAGTCCTCTTAGATTGAGTGGACGAGAACACGACGAACGCCGACTGAACATGCGTGTCAACGTACTCAACTGCCCATGTTGACTACAATTAGAAATCTTTTAGCTTTCACTCGACGATATACATGCATACAGGAAGTATAAGCGTGCACGCGCGCGCACGCGGCATACTAGCAGGGGCGTACGCAGGATTTTTTCAAGGGGGGGGGGGGGGGTTTAAATCTGGCCCAAAATATTTTGCTCCCGAAAATTTGAAAATCGCGTCGACAGAAAAGTCATTCAGTGGGGGGGGGGGGGGGGGGGGGGGGGGGGGTAAGAGGACACTTTTTTTTTTTTTTTTGTATCGAAATTTGAAAATTTGACATTTTGCTCCGTTGGGGGGGGGGGGTAAGGTCATCTTTTTGAGGTCGGCCATGGGAATTTTTTTTTTTTTTTTTTTTTTTTTTTTAATTAAAAAAAAAAAAAAATCCAAAAGGGGGGGGGGGGGGGGGTTTTAGGGAAATTTAGGGGGGGTTTACACACAAAAATTTACCAAAGGGGGGGGGGTTTAACCCCCCCCCTCCCTGTGTACGCGCCTGCATACTAGTACCGTACTAGATTTAGGAAGATCAAGGTTGAAGCAGTCTCGATCGCCGACTGAGACGACGTGACGCATGCGCAGTGCCTTAAAATGACGTCACAAGTTGCAGTCGAAGCTGTCGACGTGCAAATCTAAAAGTCCCTGTTGGTAGGGTGGTTCGAGTTTGTCCTTAGCTAGCTTCCCGATCCACTTTTTTTTTTTTTTTTGTATCGAAATTTGAAAATTTGACATTTTGCTCCGTTGGGGGGGGGGGGGGGGGGGGTAAGGTCATCTTTTTGAGGTCGGCCATGGGAATTTTTTTTTTTTTTTTTTTTTTTTTTTAATTAAAAAAAAAAAAAAAATCCAAAAGGGGGGGGGGGGGGGGTTTTAGGGAAATTTAGGGGGGGTTTACACACAAAAATTTACCAAAGGGGGGGGGGGGGTTTAACCCCCCCCCCCCCTCCCTGTGTACGCGCCTGCATACTAGTACCGTACTAGATTTAGGAAGATCAAGGTTGAAGCAGTCTCGATCGCCGACTGAGACGACGTGACGCATGCGCAGTGCCTTAAAATGACGTCACAAGTTGCAGTCGAAGCTGTCGACGTGCAAATCTAAAAGTCCCTGTTGGTAGGGTGGTTCGAGTTTGTCCTTAGCTAGCTTCCCGATCCACTTCTCCTGAACTACACTCCTATAAGATGGGTGAGAACATATTTTGGAAGTTGGGGTTTATAATCATCGTGCTTCGGTAATGCAGAAGGGGAGCTATATAAACTATAATAGTTAATAAACCATGAGCTCAAATGGCGGAAGTAATCTCAAGGGGCGCCCTCTTTGACATCGAATTGATGAATTAACATCAGAATAAGATTTTCGATATCTGTAGGCCCCATCATTTTTCAGAGGTTAATTTTTCTAGCCATTTTAATTTTTAAATACTATTGAATTCCAGCTCATCTGGCGGGCTTTTGTTTTTATTGGACCAAAATGTCGGCCCCAGGCGGTGCCCTTCTTGGCGTCCGTAAAAAATCTTAATAGTATGGCGTGTTCGACGTCTTTGCCAAATTTAGTGCTTTTAGACCAATCTGAACCAAAGTATTCCTTACACCCATTCAATGTGGATCATAGTTTGTTTTCATGCTTTTTCCAAAAAGTGGAAAATCTGATTTATAACCTTCACTATGAAAGCGAGACAAATGATTTGATCAAATATGTTCAACAATTAACTCTCCCTCCCAACTTCTTACGAAAACCTTTCATGTAATCAGGTGTAAGGTTAAAGATAAACATGGACTGTAATTTAGTTAATAAGATTATATGAACAGTTTCTTACCGGTTATTGAGAGATAGATTGACATTTGAGCGTTGCTGGTTGCCATGGAAGTCAAGGCCACGCCCATCGAAGCGAGACATGTACCAAATATTAGGAGCAGACGACGAATGGAATGGTGGCGATAGAGGGCAGTAATTATAGGAGCTATATGAAGACAGAAAAAAATCTTATGCTCATATAATTAGCAACATTTCTTATAACTTATATTCATCTGCTTGAATCTATTTCAAATATTAGTCATGAATTGAATATTCTTTAAAGGTACTATGTCCCATTCGCAGGCCAACAAAATGAAAAGATTAAATTCCAACGGCATTTGAAAGATAATACTAATTTAGAACTTCCCTAAAAAAAGGTGAGGCTTGAAAATGTCTTCAAGTGGGAAAATAACGACTATTAGTTGTCAAATCGACTTAGGAGCTATAGAGTCAATAAGTAATAGTCTTGATTTTCAGACCATTGTACCGAATGGTCATACGTTTTATGCTGCGCAAAGATTCAATCAGTTTAATTTTGGCCATCACAAGAAGTGGGTTATTGATGTAGACAAATGCTCATGTACGCTTTACGGCTCATTTTATGTATGTTATTACCAAAGAAGAAAAAAAGCCAGTCAGTCACTCAATAGTGTCTGACAGTGAAGTAAGCTGTAAGCTGGATACTTTTGTAAGCTGGATAACATATACGATACGTAGAATAGACTCAAGAAGTATCAGTGTACTATTCTACTGTCGGAGATCTAAAATTCTAGTTCAATTGTGTGTACGGTTGAACAGTTTTGCTCAAATACAGGTGATAAACATCCTTTCTGCAAACAACAAACCTCGACAGCTAGAATTATGATCTATAGAACTATTCTTTAGTGCATGAAAGAATGATGGTATCTATCCCCAGTCGTTTGGAAGTGGGTTATTGATGTAGACAAATGCCCATGAACGCTTTACGGCTCATTTTATGTATGTTATTACCAAAGAAGAAAAAAAGCCAGTCACTCACTCAATAGTGTCTGACAGTGAAGTCTAGCAAGTAAACGGGTTTCCTTGCATAATTTGAATGTTAGGACACTGCTAACGTTTAAATTTCACAGATGGGACATACATGACATGTTTTCATAATTCCTGCAAAGTTTTACAGAATTTGAGGTTGGCTGCAAAAGGGACACAGTACCTTTAACAAGATATATTACAATAATTATATTATTATCGATTGTTTAGGAGGGCTATCAAAAACATACCAAAGAACATATAGTGAAAAAATACACAAACTTCATTAAAAAGGGAAATCATATCAAATTACTGAGGAAAGAAGTACGCTTTCCGAGATCAAATATTAGTGTATGTGCCCATTTTCGAAGAAGGAATTGTGAGACGTTTTTCGGTAGATGAGAGTCTGGATTTTGGAATAATTAGGTTACATTTGTCAATTGTTGAGCGAAAGTTCCTAACTGGTGTTTATATTTAGGGGGGGGGGGGCTTCGGAAGGTATCAAGCGAATTGCCGTCAGTGTTAACATTTCACGTCACGATCCATGTACAGCATGCAGTACTATTTTCAGATACCGAAATACCATACACGGTGTGAGACGTCACACACAAAATAGTATACAAATATACACTGCCTTGAGAGGTTCTGGTTAAAACAATGCGCAAGAGGTGACTCCAATAGTACTATTTGCTGAGGGGCGCAGCCCCGAAGCAAATGGTACTTTTGGGGTCACCGAGGCCCATAGTTTTACCAGTACCTCGAATAGAAGGCATGGTATATTTGTTTTATATCCTGCATCAAAAATTTATTTAAAAAAAAAAAAAAAAAAAAATTTGGGGAAATTTTTTTTTAGAACATAACAAATGTCAATTTTTATCTAAAAAGATTTAAAGGTAGGCTTTACTACTGCAGCTAGAAGGGATTAGACCACACAGCGAGCCAGCGAGGTCATTGTGGCAGGTGGCTATCTCATTAACTCAGCTCTCATTTAACATAAGAAAAAGAGGATCATGGGGGACCAACAGGCACCGATTTGGGAAGTTTTACATATAGAGGGAGCAAGTAGCTACAAGTAGGACAGTGTGCCTTTAAAATATTTTGTTTTCATTAAATTAAGATTTGAACAAAAAAATTGAATTAATTCAAAAAAAAAATTCACATTTTTTTTTCAACTCCCAAATAGTAAACCAAAATAGTACTCTCATATAGTACTTTCTAAAAAATAGCTCAAATATTTTTGGTCATGTGACGAGCTCTCAACCAATCAAAAGCCAACACATTTTTGATGAAGGATATAATACGTACTGTATTGCGAACATTCATAGTTTGTTCACAATTGTGTGCTGTAACTTACGGTGCAGATATTTACGAGTAGAAAAGTACATCTAAGCTTAACCGAAATGATATATACTATTAATGTTATTATCATTATCATTTTCTTTAACTTCTCTCGGTGACGTGAATATGACCATTTTCCTTCCAGGGCCCCACCATGCACTCATGAAAAATGTTTGCTGTCAAGTTACCCCAGGAACCATAGTTTCCAACCTGACCCTCGAAAAGGCATTTGTATGTGTAAAATGCGCTGTTATTAAAGGGATAGGGTAACTTTGCCTCAGATTCTTTAAAAAAATCCAGAATTTAGCTCATGCTGCAATCATAATTATAAACCTTTAGGTCATACATGAATCCCATGACTTTTACAAACTGATCGCCTGTCTGATTATCAAGATATTTATGATTGGAATTAGAAAGTTCAGAATTCGTTTTCGTAACGATTTTGATAACACTACAGTCTATTGGGGAAAATAACAACCGGTCAATCAAAGATTTTTACTTTTTTGAGGCACTTCATGATTATTTTGAAGCGCAAACTTTGTTTAGGGCTTCAATATTACATATGTCACAGAGACTGATAACACGTAGGGCCATTCATATCAGATTTAATATTGTTGAAGGTGAAATTCAAAGAAAATGACAAATATGTCAACTAATGTATCACTAGAAACTGGTATGCTAACAGATGGCCATCGTACAAGTTTTAGGTCAACTACATATCGGGTGATTTATAAAAATACAAATACAACCACCTCCATAGCAGCTGGGATATACGAGAGACGAGTCGCCGGAAAAATAACGATGTTTTAATGACGTCACTATATGGACCAATACTGCGCAAGCAGACGACATCCCATAAAGAATGAACATAATTGCAAAGCTATTATTTGTCAAAATGTAATGGCATGTCAAACCATTAAAAAGAGGATATAACCCGATTCTGATAACTAAAATCTTTTGCTTGTAAATACACAGGATAGGGGTTAATTAACAATCAAAGAAAACAGACATTCAAATTGAAAAAAACCCGGAATGATATCAAGGACGGCATTTGTTCCCTCTTGAAACGCCGAACATATACCACGGTGTGTGCAGCTGAATATACTGAGTGAGTCCAAAAAAAGTTTACACCTAGAAAATTGCTAATTATTTTATAAATCGTCTATGAACAGTAAATTATTATACATCTTATAAAAGAGTGTTTTATCCCAAATCATTCAGTATCATTTTTGTGTGGTATGTGTTCACGCCTGGGTGAAGAGGATGCATTGTTCGCGAGAGTGCAAAAATCGACTTGCGCCAAAGTTGCCTATGTGATGTTTGAATAAAACAATTGGGATTTGGGTATTAATTCGGTGTTTGCAGATCCAAATAACACCCCTAACAAAACTAATCATGACACACATTCAAATATCGAATATCAAATATCAAGGAACATTTGTGCGCGTGTGTGTGGGTGTGTGCAGTGCTCAAAGTACACGGGGGCGGTGGGCGATTCGCCCCTGAGCTACATAATCGCCCCCGTCAGGTTGCTCACGAGGGCGATTGCAAAATTAAAAATCGCCCTCGTGGAATTATAAAATAAAGATTATCTTTTCTGTTATAACTTTAACACAATATTGAGTTTCAATTTACAAACCTTAAACCAATGAAATGCATATTGCTCCGATTGTCTCATTTTCGCTCGCGTGAACATTGCCAGCACAAACCACTGACCTCTACCTCCTGAACGGATCATCGCCCATTCCCATTCACTATACGTTACGTACTAAAAGGCTGTATTGTCTGACCGTTCATGAATATTCATGTTTTTGCTAAACTCGGCAAAATGTTTGCTTTTACTAAATGGAAAAATTACGGTGGGGGGTTGGATGAAATGGACATAATGAAATAGGCAGAAGTGATCTATGATAATTCATGCTTTTTTATGTTTCGTGTGCTCGACCTATAATCTTCAAATCGCTTGGTAAACTGAGTCCAAAGTTAGACTTGTTTCACATGTGTATTATAGGCAATGACGAGCTTGCAACCTATTTTGAAAAATTACGGTGGGTGAACTTTCAAAAGTCAATGAGACATGAGGGCTCCAATGACAGAGCTAGTGATAACGTACGTCGGGGTGGATGTGCTTTTCGTTTAAACAAAAAATGAATTTTTAATGATTTTTAAAAAAAAAACGTCCATAGGCTAACATGTTAGGCTGCTGACTCTGATCATGCTCTGACGATAGGGGGCGTTGTGAAATGAGACTAAACGGAGCCATATGGAAACTTAGATAAGCGTGCAAGATTTCTCGTTCTATGAGTAGGCCTATTATTACCGATTCAGCTCGCAGAGCAGTGCCGCCGTCATTAGTGGTTATAGGCCTACTGCGCCGTTAGTAACGGTACGTGTGCACGCTGCCGCGCCATGTCTGCTGGAGCTATGGAGGCGATCGCACAAGGGCAGAAACATATGGTCATGGAGAAGTTTTTCGTTGTGAAAGCGTAAACCCGCTGAAATCTGGGGATTTCAAATGACCAGCAAATAATGAACCTCGACCAGTAAATCAATATAGGGACTTTTTTTTGCACGATGAGAACGTGGACTGCAACGTGTGACCTCTTTTTAAGGCACTGCCAGTGCTTAAAAGGACGTCACATGTGACTGCTAGTGCCTTAAAAGAACACGTCCACGTCCACGCAAATCTAAAAGTCCCTATTGAGAAGAAGAGGAAGACCAAGATGTCGTGGAATGATAATGGTAACATGGGCAGATCTACGGGGGGGGGGGGGGGGGTTAGAGGGTTTAACCCTCTCCTCCCCC